CTGAGGCAGGAGAATCACTCGAACCTGGGAGGCAGAGGTTGCAGTGAGCCAAGATCACACCACTGCACTCCAGCCTGGGCGACAGAGCAAGATTCCATCTCAAAAACAAAACAAAACACCAAAGGCTAGAACATAATTTTCTATTTATACTCTTTCCCAATATTATAAATAGCATGCTATATTTAATTTTACAGATCCCCTGTATAAAATATCAAATGTTTTAATAACTATGCAAATATTAACATTTGATACACAAGACCTTCTAGATTGCAGCATAATCCTAACTCTGGATTGGTAGGGTGCTCAATGGGAAAATTCCTGTTTAGACAGTTGTAAGATAAGGGAAATGTTTAATGAAACAAGTTTGATGGCCTTATCATCATATAACTCATAGACACTTGGTGTAATTTAATTTTTGCCAAAGAATTTTGAGAAAAGGAACAATCAGTAACTTAAATTAATTCCCCCTACTTCCCCATCAGTCCAATCCATCTATCTCTTATTCTATGAATGGTCCATCTATCTCTTATTCTATGAATGGTCCTTTGGTCTGCTGATTATAAAAAATTGTTTTTTGCAACATTATTTAATTAAGAGTTTTTTTGGCCAGGCACGGTGGCTCACATCTGTAATCACAGCACTTTGGGAGGCCAAGGTGGGTGGATCACCTGAGGTCAGCAGTTTCAGGCCAGGTTGGCCAACATGATGAAACCCTATCTTCACTAAAAAAGCAAAAAATTATCTGGGGGTGATGGCAGGCACCTGTAATCCTAGCTAGTCAGGAGGCTGAGGCAGGACAATCACTTAAACCCAGGATGCACAGGTTGCAGTGAGCTGAGATAGAGCCATTGCACTCCAGCCTGGGCAATAAGAGTGAAACTCCGTCTCGAAAAATAAAAGTTGTTTTTTATTTTATTATTTATGCATTTATTTATTGAGATGGAGTCTCACACTGTTACCCAGGCTGGAGTGCAGTGGCACAGTCTCTGCTCACTGCAACCTCCACCTCCAGGGTTCAAGTGATTCTCTTGCCTCAGCCTCCATAGTAGCTGGGATTACGGGCATGGACCACTACACCCAGCTAATTTTTGTATTTTTAGTAGAGAAATGGTTTTACCATGTTAATCAGGCTGGTCTTGAACTGCTAACCTTGTGATCTGCCTGCCTTGGCCTCCCAAAGTGCTGGAATTACATGCATGAGCCACTGTAGCTGGCTTATTTTAATTAATTAATTAATTAATTAATTTTAACAGACAAAAGTCTCACTCTATCACCTAGCCTGGAGTGCAATGGTGTAATCATAGTTCACTGCAGCCTCAAACTCCTGGGTTCAAGCAATCCTCCCGCCTCAACCTCCTGAGTAGCTGGGATAACAGGCATATGACACCACACATGGGTAATTTTTTCAATTTTTATTGTAGAGACAGAGTCTTACTATGCAGCCCAGGCTGGTCTCTAGCTCCCGGCCTCAAGTGATTCTTCCATCACAGCCTCCTGAAATGCTGGGATTACAGGTGTGAGCCATTGTGCCTGGCTGTTTTTTAAATTTTTTTAGGACATGTGTCTAGTTTATTTGTGAGGGTGCAAGTAAAGCCTACTTTGCTTGGAGTATCGATTTTCTAATTTACTTAGATAGCATAACAAAAGAGCAAAAACAAAATAAAATGTTTGGGTCATTTCCCCTATGACTTTGAATCTGTTTACCACCCGGATAGGTTCACTATGTTACTGAGAGACTTAGTAAAATAAAGAACAAATTATTCCAGCCAAAGAATTTTCTCATCTCAGTTCCCTAAAAATCTGCACGCTTCCCATAACAACAGATGAATTTGATTCCTCAGCAAAATGCTGTAGAGGACACTGAGGTAAATTACTATAAGCACGACCATTCTCTTGAGTAAAGTGGAAAGAAATTCTTTGCCCTAAGCAGAACACCTATGACATGGTTTGGCTATGCCCCCACCTTCCAACCAAATTTCATCTTTTTCTTTTTTTTTTTTTTGAGACAGACTCTTGCTCTGTCACCTAGGCTGGAGTGCAGTGGCGTGATCTCGGCTCCTGGGTTCAAGCAATTCTCCTGCCTCAGCCTCCTGAGTAGCTGGGATTACAGGTGCCTGCCACTGCGCCTGGCTAACTTTTGTAGTTTTAGTAGAGACAGGTTGGCCTGACCATGATGGACAGGCTGGTCTCTAACTCCTGACCTTGTGATCTAGCTGTCTTGGCCTCCCAAAGTGCTGGGATTATAGGCTTGAACCACTGTGCCTGTCCCCAAGTCTCATCTTGAATTGTAGTTTCCATAATACCCATGTGTTGTGGGAGGGACTCAGTGGGAGGTAATTGAATGATGGGGACTATTATCCCTATGCTGTTCTTGTGATAGTGAGTTCTCATGAGATCCGATGGTTTTATAACGGGCATTTCTCCACTTTGCTTGGCACTTCTCTCTCTTGCCTCCATGTGAAGAAGGACGCGTTTGCTTCCCCTTCCACCATGACTGTAAGTTTCCTGAGGCCTCTCCAGCCATGTGGAACTGTGCGTCAATGAAACCTCTTTCTGTTATAAATTACCTAGTCTCAGACAGTTCTTTAGAGCAGCGTGAGAATGGACTAATATTACCTACTAGTAAATAATATGAGAGGAGAAGTGGCTGGTGTCACCATGACGATCACAGAGACTGCCTTGGACGGTCATGCTAGCCTCATCCATGTGAGTTTATATGTCTTCTGGATCTCACTTCCAATAATTTTAGATCACTTTCATGAAGCACAATGAGAGATATTTCCTTTATCTGTAGAAAGTGGTTCAGTTTCTCTTTTTGTTTTCTTCTGGAAGAAAGTCTCCTTTTTTTTTTTCTAATTTCCAGTCCATTCAAAAAGAAGACGTGAATGAAATCAACAAGCTCACTCTTTAGGGGGCTGATCTCACCATGGTTCATACTCTCACCTACTTTTGTTGCTGTGGTCATGGGTTTCATTGTTTGTCTTGGCTTTGGGAACCTGATTTGAATGGACAGATCTTTCAGAACAGAATTTTGTTGTAACTGTGGGGGCATCCCAGGGGTCTGGAATGAAGCAACCCTAAGAGAACTTCTTCTGTTGCCCTACATTCCCACCTGTGTCTCAGATCCTACATACAAAGTCCCAGGGTCTCCACGTTGTCCCTGGGGAGACAGTCAGCACCACCTGGAAAATGACACCAGTGTCACCTCTGCAGCCAGGATTCAAAGGCATGTTAGTTGCTAGAGCATCAGGGGATATGCAGGCAGACAGTGTTCACAGAAAAAAGACAAGAACTCCTCTGTTAATATAAATTTAAAAATCTTAAAAACTATTTTGTTGGAACTGTAAAAACCGTAGAGAGCCAGAACAAAATATGATTCCACATAAAGATAAGAGAAACTGAAAAGTAAGAATTAGGTCGGGCATGGTAGCTCACATCTGTAATCCAATCACTTTGGGAGGCTGAGGTGGGTGGATCACATGAGGTCAGGAGTTTGAGACCAGCCTGGCCAACATGGTAAGACCCCATCTCTACTAAAACTACAAAAATTAGCCGGGTGTGGTGGCAGGCACATGTAACCCCAGCTACCTGGGAGTTCTGAGGCAGGGGAATCGCTTGAACCCGGGAGGCAGAGGTTGTAGTGAACTGAGATCGTGCCGCCGCACTCCAGCCTGGGTTACCGAGCAAGACTCTATGTCAGAAACAAACAAAAAAAGAACAGTAAGAATTAGTTGCTTTTTTACGGATCAGCTTAGATTTGTTCAGAATGTTTGACTACACAGCTACTATATCACTTTAATCGACAGGAAGCATTTAGCTTCTCTTTGTGAGCTATCTAAAGAAGAAGGGGGTGCAAGGAAGGTGGGGTTGGGGGGCGTGTTGCATTCCAATCCTGCTGCCCAGAAATCGTGTCGACCCATTTCCTCATTCATGCGCCGGCCAGGAACACTCCGCTGGGACACTCTGTGATCAGCCACTTGCACAACAAAGACGGGTCGACACCACCTCGCCCTGGTGGTAAGGCTGCAGGATTGCTCCTGAGACGCTGGCGGCTGCCACAGAGGAGGAGAAAGTTCCACAAACAACCCCCGCATCTCTCCACCCAGGTCTCTCTCCACCTGGTTTCTCAAGAGCAGATTGCTTAGCCAATCTGAACGATCCCAGAGGAACGCCAGGGCAAGGCAGAGTTCCAAGTACCTTTGCCCTAATTTATTGAGGGCTTTACAAGTAGAAAATAAAACTTTGAACTCAACTCCTCTGAAGCTTTACGATTCAGGTGTGCTACCTGCCTTCGGCGGCACCGCAGATCACTGAAGTTAAGTGACAAAAAAATTCTGTGAGCTGCAGAACAGAAAAGCGTGTACAGACCCGACCCAGCTGCTTCTCCTAGCGTATGAACTTGGCAGGAGAAGCGCGGAAGTCCCCTGGTCTGCTCTCGTCCTTTTCAAATGGATAGGATTTCCCCTGCGTACAGGCCTCTAATCCTGTCTCCTCTCTGGCCTTCCAGAGAGTGGAGAAAAAGCGCTCTGCTTCAAGAAGACGACAGAAAGACGAGGGTGGGAATGGAAGGAAAAGGAGGAAATGAAAATGGCTAGTGAGAAATACTTGGAGGGAAAAAGAAAGGTCAAGAATGAAGTCAGTTCTCATTTACATTGCACTGAAACTTGAGTTCAAATAGGTTGTGCCGCAATGAGCTCATCTGCACGATTTTACACAAATACCAGCGCCGCCACGGGCCTTTTTCTTGTCTTGAATATCTAAGGAGATATTCACAGCAACCCCCTTCAGCTCTGCGAATTTTTCCCGTGTGGGGCTTCTGCATAATAGGTGTTGAATTTAGTTTTGAAACTAACATTCCTCTACGACCGACTGCAAAGCAAGTAGTAATATTTAAGCTTAGATGAGATTTAAGGTTAGAGGCAGGCTTTTTAGTGACAGGGAAAGCCAGGACTAAAAGGAAGAAGCGATCTTTTTAAAATTTTAAAATTTTTTTATTATGTTTTAATATGGAACGCTTCACGAATTTGCGTATCATCCTTGCGCAGGGGCCATGCTAATCTCTGTGTCGTTCCTATTTTAGTGTACGTGCTGCCGAAGCGAGCACGGAAGGAGCAATCTTTGGCCTAGCCAAAGCGGACGCGGGGGGCTGTCCCGCACCCTTAAGCGGGAGAAGGTTCCAGGCTTTTCCGGAGTGATCTCTCCGTTCTTCCTAAGGGAGGGCTCAGGGCAAGGGTTACCTTTAGGTGATTTCTTCTCGCTGAATTCAGCTACGAAGCATGGAAAGAAGGGGAACCTCTGAGCTATTCCTACCGACGCAGTGTTGCATGTGTGTGTCCGTCGGCACGTGCGTGTCTGTGTGTCGGTGCGGTGCTCCCGACAGGTCCCGAGCGCAGTGCAGAGCCGCGCACGCACAGGCAGCCGGAGGCCTCCAGCCGCTGGGCGCTTTCCCAGGCTGGCCTGCGGCGCGGCCGGCGCCTCCCCGGGCAGCGGGCGCGGGCGGGAGAGGGGACTTGAGCCACAGGGCCCGCCCCGCCCCCGTCCCGGGCCGGCTCTGCGCAGAGGAAGCGTCTGGAACGCCGGCGCTGGTGTGTGGCTCCCCGAGGGCGTGTGGTGTGTAAACAGAATTGCTGTCAATCAAGTCGCTTCTTAGAGGCTCCGGGGGAGCCTGTGAGTTCCAGGAGCCCCGCGGTGGAGCCCCGCGCGGACGCAGAGGCTTGTGCCGGGAGCGCGCGCGCCCCCCTGCCGCCCCCACGCAGGCTCTGTGACCTCCCAGCTTCAGTCTGTAGTTTCTCGCCTCAGCCCTCCTTTCTGATGCGCTTCTCCGCCCTGTAACCCCACGTTTCCCACTCGCCAGAGCTGCTGATACCGCGTGGCCGTCAGGTAGAATTTCCCAGCGTTTAAGCCGGCGCTTTTAACCCCAAGACTGTGGTGGGTGGGTCACAGAAAGGACGAGAGCGTCCCTAAACCCTCCAGCCTTTGAGACAGAGTGTGTGCTGTAAGAGAAGTTAATGGCTCGGCGCGGCGGCTGACGCCTGTCATCTCGGCACTTGGAGAGGCTGAGGCGGGTGGATCACCTGAGGTCAGGAGTTCGAGACCAGCCAGGCCAGCATGGCGGAAACCCCCCCGTCTCTACTAAAAATACAAAAATTAGCTGGGTGTTGTGGTGCATGCCTGTAATCCCAGCTACTCAGGAGGCTGAGATAGGAAAATCACTTGAACCCGAGAGGCGGAGGTTGCAGTGAGCTAAGATGGCGCCACCGTACTTCAGCCTGGGAGACAGAGCGAGACTCCGCCTCAAAAAAAAAAAAAAAGTTAGTACGTAAAAATAAAAATAATAATAAAAATAAAAAAAGACAGTGTGGATCCCTTGAAACACCCACCTTCTTTGATCTTGTGGAGCGGGGGTCCTCACCTCACGTGTGGGCCCCTTGGGGACTGGGTCGTCCCTTAATTCTCTTGAAGAGACAAATATATTTCACAGGGGATGAAATGGTTTATGCACATAATTTAAATAGTGTTTTGGAGGTCCCAGACATGCACAATGCAGCATGACTTGAAAGTGCAATTATCCTTAAGGGAAAATGTGGACTGCGCGGAGTGTTTTCCTTACCTGCTTTTCAAGCTAGCTTGACTCCGGTGCACTGACGAAGCTGTTGAACCACGTGCAGATGTGTAATCCAGCCCCTGGCGGAGTCGGCCACGCTGTGCTGATCGGCTCTGCCAAGCCTGGAAACTGGGCTGAGTCACCCAGGGGCTGCTCTAGCCATGGATTTCCCCCTCAATTTAGAATATGTTGGTGGAATAAAATGACTACCACTTTTTACATATACAGTGTCTTCACTGTCTCTCTCTTTTAGACATGTATTCTTTTTAGGAAGGGAAGTGTTTTGTCTTAATTTTTCCCTCCGGTGGAGACACTTTGAGGTTAAAAAAAAAATTGAGTAATAATGACAATCAAGTATTCTCATTAAAAATAATTTGTTTTGGAGAAATTAAATGGTTTGGAAATCCTGTTTTTGCCAAAAATAAAAATGTAAAAATATTTTTTCAAATTATTTCAAAAGTTTATGATTGTACCTTCAATTAGTTACATTTTTAGAGACACATTTAATTTTTAATGAATTTCATTATATGAGTACTACTTTCAAATTATGAAACATTTCAGGCATACAGACAAACACCTACAGAGAATTTTATAATAAACACATGTAGGCTGAGGTGGGAGGATGACTTGAGCCAGGAAGTTTGAAGCTGTCATGAGCCATGATTGCGCCACTGCACTCCAGGCTGGGCATCAGAAGGAGACCCTGCCTCAAAAACAACCCAAAACAAACAAACAAAAACACACCATATGTAGTCCACTACTTAGCCCAAGAGATAAGGCCTTGCAGATGTAATTGAAGCCCCTCACTACTGACCTGTCCCCTTCCTAATCTCATTTCCCTTCTTCAAATTCCAGAGATAAGCATTACCTTATATTAGGAGTTTACTGTTTCCATGCATTAAAATTTTTACTACATATGTACAGGCATATGCACATAAACAATACATCATAAAGTGTTATTTTGCATTTTTAATTTTTTTTAGATGGAATCTTGCTCTTTCGCCCAAGCTGGAGTGCAGTGGCACAATCTTGGCTCACTGCAACCTCTGCTTCTGAGGTTCAAGCGATTCTCCTGCCTCAGCCTTCCAAGTAGCTGGGATTACAGGTGCACACTACCATGCCTGGCTAATTTCTGTGTTTTTAGTAGAGATGGGTTTCACCATGTCGACCAGGCTGGTCTCAAACTCCTGACCTTGTGATCCGACCCCCTGGGCCTCCTGAAGTGCTGGGATTGCAGGTGTGAGCGACCTCACCTGGCCATTATTTTGCATTTTAAACCATCTTTATATGAACGGTATCATACTGTGCTTATATTTCTGCAGTTGGCAGCTGTATCACTCCAGCTATATCCCAATATTTTTCTATATATACACATTGATGACAGCAGCTCTGCTGCTGAGGTATCCATTGTCTAGAATGGCCATGCTTCTGTTGTTGATGGATATAAATATAAATTGTTTACATCTTGTTTTTTTTTTTTTTTTTTTTTTCCCAGACCGGGTCTTGCTCTGTCACCCAGGCTGGAGTGCAGTGACATGATCTCGACTCACTGCAGTCTCAACCTCCAGGGCTCAAGTGATTCTCCTACCTCGGCCTCCCAAGCAGCTGGGACCACAGGTGTGCACCATTACGCTAGGCTAATTATTTCTTATGTTTTGTAGGGAGGAGGTCTCATAATGTTGTCCAGGCTAGTCTCAACCTCCTGGGCTCAGGCAATCCTCTGGCCTCCACCTTCTGAGTGTTAGGATTATAGGCATGAGCCACTGTGCCTAGCCTTGTTTCTACTTTTTCTCTGTTGTAAACTGTGTTGGTGTGAACCCTCTCGTCTGTGTTGCATTGTGCACAGGTAAAGACTTTCATCCAGGAGTAAAAATGTTTCAGGATTTTAAGTATACAATCTGCAACTTTATTAGATACTGCCAAATTGTTCTCCAGAGTCAGTAGTTTTATATTTTCACTGTAGAAACATAAGAATATACAGTCAATGAGAGAAAAAAAAAAAGGAAAAGTCATTCCCCATCTCTACATTCAGAGAAACCCACTTCTAACTACTTAAAAATCTTTTTGGTATATAAACTTCCAGGTTTTTCTGTGCTAAACATACACACACACAGAATCCAGTATACCATATATGCCTCTATATATGTACACATAAATGCAGAAATCACTTATGTACACATAAATACATTATATGTCATGTATGCATTCATATATGTTATATACACATATACACACACATATGCCTATGTGTGTGCATCTGTAGCTCTGTGTTATGTATACATTTATAATTATATTTAATGTTTGAGGATCCTATATTTTTAAATTTAATATAACATTAGTTTATAATAATACAGTGAACATTTCATTTTATCACTAAATATTCATTAAAAATACAATTTTAATGGCTGCAAATTTGTTCGATGTAAGAATATTTATTTGGTTTATTACTATTCACCTATTAAATATCTAGATAGTAATTTCTCACTCCTATAAAAAGTGCCATGATGAAGTTCAATGTGGTTTTAAACCAAAACTGTTTTTGAGACAGAGTCTTGTTCTGTCACCTAGGCTGGAGTGCCGTGGCATCATCTCGGCTCACTGCAATCTCTGCCTCCTGGGTTCTAGTGATTCTCCTGCCTCAGTCTCCTTAATAGCTGGAATTACAGGCATGCACCACCACAGCCGGCTAATTTCTGTATTTTTAGTAGAGACAGGTTTTTGCCATGTTAGCCAGGCTGGTCTCGACTTCAGGTGATCCACCCTCCTCGACCTCCCATAGTGCGCCAATGTACCCGACTCCCAAACATTTCTGATTTATCTTCTTCATGGTCACTTTAGTGGATTAATCAGTCCTTTGTCACTAGAGCAGCTAAAATCTTTCAGAATAAAATAAAGAAGGTATTTTGATTTAGTTTTTTATACTCTTCATGTTAATGCAGCACAGTGGCACAATCTCAGCTCACTGCAACCTCCGCCTCCCTGGTTCAAGTGATTCTCCTGTCTCAGCCTCCTGAGTAGCTGGGATTCCAGGTGTACACCACCGTGCCCTGCTAATTTTTTGTATTTTTAGTAGAGGCAGAGTTTCACCATGTTGATCAGGCTGGTCTTGAACTCCTGACCTTGTGATCTGCCCTCCTTGGCCTCCCAAAGTGCTGGGATTACAGGTGTGAGCCACTGTGCCCGGCCCATGGGCCATCTGCTTTTCAGTCAGGGAGCTTCCCTGAGGCTCTGGTCCTCCAGCTCAACCACCAACAGCCAGTTACATGGCCCAAGAAGATACTTCACTTTTTTGAGTCTCAACTTATATCATCTGCAGAATGGAACTAACAGAAGTAATAACTACTATTTATTGAAGGCTATGAGAAAGCAGCAACTGCTTGGAGTACTTCACATGAATTACTTTATTTAATGCCACATCTCTATCAAGTATATACCAGTACTACTCCTGTTCTGCAGATGACTAAGCCAAGGTAGAGAAAGCTTCAATAAATGACCCAGAT